TCTCTCATGGTTCGTCCACCCCTCCGATTTCCCCCGCTTCATTGCTCCCCTCCCGCTACCTTCTTCTTCTTCTTTTTTTTTCTTAACATATCTTGCATTATTTGTCTCAGAGGTACAGATCTGAGATTCAACAGTCCAAGACAGTACATTCTTGTACTGTAAGAATGTCATTAACAGTTTGCAATACAACCTGTATCATGACTGAGTCCTTTGTTTCTGGATCATCTGAGATGAAGCTGTTTCATAGTAGGAAAATAAACTTCCAGAAAATGGAGAAAAGACATTGTTAGTGGGGAAGGTGTCTTTCCCATGCCTCTGGTATTCATGAGAAGGAATTTTTTCCCTAGGCCTTCCTCCTCCTTTTAAGTGAGTTAACTGAGTCTGGGAGGGAACTTGGGCTTGTATGCCTGGCCCTGACATCCCTTTCACTCTGGGAGCCTGCCTGTTGGTGGAGAGTAGGATCCCTGCTGACTGTGCTTGACTCCATGGGCTTTGTTGTTGATTTTAGTTAGTTAGCAGTGCGATATTGGTTTCTGGAGTAGAATTCAGTGATTCATCAATTATATATACCAGCCAGTGCTCATCACAACAAGTGTCCTCTCTAATACCCATCACCCATCTAGCCCATCTCCCACCCACCTCCCAACCCCATGGATTTTCAGGATGGACTGTAACTAGGTAATCTGTCTAATTCCAGAGTTTCGGATTGGGAAGTCTCCTTTTGCCACACATAAGCCATGTACTTCCAACCAAGCTTTGTTAGTGAAAGTGGTTTTTCACCTCTATTTGCCTTACTCTTTCAGAAGTCAGGCAGGGAAAAGAGATGTCACTTATTGGGCCTTCTAATATCCCAGTATTTATTACAAAGAAGTTTCTTTATGAAACTGTACTTAGAAGTGTTCACTTCTGGTGGTCATTGTACAGGGAGCGCAATGCAGTATACCTAATGGCCAAATTAGAAAACAGCTATGGAAAATTATATGAAGAACCAATTCCTATGGGTGTGAACATAGTGACTGTGGGTGTGTAATGGACAGAGCCTATGACAAGAGTATAATTGAACAATGCTTTCCATGTCCAGAATGTCCAGAATTCCAGAATCCTTAAGGATTCTGTAGACATGGTTCAAAATGTGTCCTGCCAGGGAAAGAGAAACCACATCATAAATGTGAATTCTAAGTAGTTCTTTTAAACAATTACCATGACTAATTATAACCATGTTGGCTCAACAGATACACTTCCATTCTGTCATCTTTTTTTTTTCTGGAAACAGAATACCATTAAGAACCCCTACAAAATATCCTCTTAGTAGGCTTAAAAATTCCTCTCCTGACAAGTATTTCCTGAGAATCCGGCTTATACAAATGCTTTGCAGGCTATGCATATCTCCTCTACTCAGGGAAGCATGAAGGAGGGATGTAATATTCCAGGACTCTGCTGTCAAGCCCTGCAGTAGAGTAACTTGGACCTACTAGATAGAACTATTTATAAAACCATCCCCATGACAACAAAAATCCTTGCTATGTGTTACTTGTGGTTCTTAAAGATTGTCCTCACTTGCTGAAGGAAAATATTTCTCTTTTGATACACCAGGCTAGTGTTTTAGAGAGAGAGCAAGAGTTGATTTTAAAAAAATGGAGTGGCGCCTGGTTGGCTCAGTCAGTTAAGTGTCTAACTCTTGATTTTGGCTCAGGTCATTATCTTAGCGTCGTGATCTCGAGCCCCACATGGGGCTCCGTGCTGAGTGTGGAGCCTGCTTGGGTTTCTCTCTCCCTCTGCTCCTCCCCGCTCACTTTCTCTCAAAAAAAAAAAAAAAAAAGTAAATAAAATGGAAAATAAGACAGTTGCCCTTATGATCAAGAGATAACTAAATAGGTGAGGGTTTCCCAGGGCCCTGCTGAGTTTTGCTGCACCCTAGGTCAGGAGATTTTTGGCCAGCCTCTAACAAAGTGTGCAGGGAAGTGGTACCAGGTACTCTGTCATCAAAAAGTAGTAAAGAATATGTCAATCCTCTTTGAGGAAAATATGACCATACTTCTATCTATCTGCCATCTGGACACAAGAATGAAGTTTTTTTTTTTTTTTTTTTTAAAGATTTTCTTTATTGGAGAGAGAGAGAGCATGAGCAGGGTGAGGGGCAGAAGAGAAGCAGACAGGGAGCCTGATGTGGGGCTCAATCCTGAGACTTCGGGATCATAACCCAAGCCAAAGGCAGACGCTTAACTGACTGAGCCACCCAGGCACCCCACAAGAATGAAGTTTTACATGATTTTGATTTAAACAAGCTTATAAATCCCCATGTGGCTGTTGCATCAGCACTATCTTGCTCTTGGTCTTTGAGAGTTAGAATATGAGGATCTTTAATTTATACTTTCCCCCTTAAGTATACTTTTGGAGTGTGAGCAGCCCCTGAAGAAGAGCTGAATGGCCAGGACAATGATGGCTAAGAAGTCTCAGACCACCTTAATTAGTAGAACAGTAAAAACACCAAGTGGCTTCTGAACAGTACTGCCACCATAAAGCTTCTAGAAAGTTCCTGTGCTAGGTTGCTTGCAAGGTCACCAAACTGGGGGTTGCCTCAAAAGTCTCTTGACACTTCCCTGAAAGTCTCTAGGCCCTTAGTAGCTGAAGTAAAGACTCAGGCACATGTGATCAACCATTAAATGGTGATTTAGTTTCAAGTGGACATTAAAAGTTAATTTTTAAAAGCAGGTAAAATCATGACTCTCATACAGATATTAAGAAAAAAAAACATGATGAAAATTTTATTTAACTCATTCATGAAAAAACTATTTAACTAATTCATGAAAAAACTAGTGATGTGTTACAACCAGGTCAAAGGAGAATCCCAAGAACAGACACAGTTATAGGTCCGGAATATTGTAAGGGATGTGCAAATAGATCCAAAACTGGTTTTATAGTTCTTTCTTTCCTGAACAGAATTTGTTTGCATGTCTATGGACAAGAATTCTTTAGCATTGCTGTTAGTTATCTACAGTTTACAGAATCAGGATCAAATAACCCAGCTGTGCTTTGGAATGACAATACATAATTTTCCATCTGAGCTCAAATTTTTCCCTATGGTTTCCCCACTTTGATCAAAAAGCATCTCAGATTCTTGATCACAAAGTGAATCTGGCCTCATTATTCTTGGCCTGATTATTTACATAGGTGCAGTAAGAATGTTTACCAAAAGGCCTTTTTAAATATTGCTGTGCTGGAGGTTTCCATAAGGAATATCAGCTTGGACTTCTAAAAGCCTCTGTTACTTGCTATCCTGAGGCTAGGAGGCCAAGTCCAGGAAACTTTATCCACCAGATTATATCTGCAGTATCCATCCATTCTGGGTGACTTCCTCTCTCTTAAAGTCCTCAAAGAACCTGTAGGCCCCTGGCCTGCCATGAAAGTGACCTCCCTTACCAGCTCTAAGGCTGGAACTTGTAAACCAGTTTCCATAAAGTCAACCTTAATTCCATAAAAGTGACTGGTCAGGAGCTGGCAACAATTTCCCCAGGTCAGCAGGAGCCTCTCCTCCTTTGTCCAGGTGGCCATGTCCACCTGGAGGGGCTTGGCAAAGGGGTGGCTGGTGGTGTAGGCAGCCTGTCCTCCATAGAGCTGCTGCCTGGTGGCTATGGACACCAAACACATAGACTTGCAGAGGCCAGGAGTCAGCCCCTCCAGGGTCTGAGGAGGGTGCCCAGACAGAGCACCCCTCCATCTGCTCCTGGTTGAAACTTTTTCCAAAAAGGACAAAAGGAGCTCAGATCAGTTGTCCATAGTGCTCCTGGTGGAAATTATGTGGTAAAGTCCCTCCCAGAGAGAATCTTTAGAAAACTTCCAAAAACCATTCAGCAGGAATATGAAACACGAACAGGGAGGGCCTGTAAACCACCACCTCAGTCTTTAGGATATGCGAATTTTGAATTTGAGCCACTTTCTACCACCGTTCTGATTCTTGAATATGGACCATCATGTGATTGATGATTGCTTTTGTGTCCTGTTTATGAAATTTTTGCAAATTCAGGGAAATCTTCCTGTCAAATCTGTGGAGGAAGGTTTACATCACTGACAAGAACATTAGACCACTGGGTTGAGTCTCAAAATTGAGAAATTAAAGCAGTACATTAGAAAAAAAGGAAAAACAATTTAAGCAGAAAAAAAAATATATTACAAATCCAGTGGTAATTTGGACCAGTGAAATACTGCACCAATTGGGAAGTAATGCATAGTAAGAGAAAAGTTTGAGAGTTGGGGTATTGGGACTGCCCCCTACTGTTCATGGTAAAAGTTCAGAGTCTAGCTGTAGGAAGTGATCCAAATGTTGCCCCTGAACTTTATGAAATATTTCTCTCCAGAGGAAAGGAACAGCGGAAAGGCTTCAGTGAAACACATTCTCTCTAAACGTGATACAGAAGGCGTATCTGTTGATGATCCAAATGTCCATCTGGAATTAAGCTAGACATATCCTATGCATTTCCATCTCTATCTCTTTCACAAAGATGGTCCAAATCATGATGTTTTACATAGTATCTTAGGAGTATATTCATGTTACAGATCTGATGTTGGTTACGTCCAAGGGATGTCCTTCATTGAGGCAGTGCCCATTCTCAATTTGGAAGAGACAGTTGCCTTCATTTCATTTGGAAGTTTCATGAATAAGCCATGCCAGTTGACCTTTTTTCTGGCAGATTACAGCAAGATATTGAACATCTGAAGTATTCTTTGAGGACAGTCTCTTCAGACTGTTTCTTCATATCAAGCGTTATGGCCTTAAGCCAGACATACACTTGATAGACTAGATCTTCAGATGTATCACAAATCACTACTCGGTCCAGCTTGTCCATTCTGGGATGTAGTTTGCAGAGATGGGGAAGAATTTTTATTTAGAACTGGGCTTTGTGTCTATAATGAAGGATATTAAGAAAGGAGACCGGAATAACAGTACTGCTTTGAACAGCCAATCTTCATAAATAACAGACTAATTGAAATGTAAAAAAGTATTTTTGGTAACAGGTTTTTGCTTCCTATGTAAGAAGCATGGAGGAAAGTTGGAGAAATCAAAAGAATCAAGAGATGGAAAACAGCTGATTTTGAATGTTGTGTCTGAAGTACAAGAAATGAGTAACCTGTTGACAATATTCTTAAGAAAAATATTTCGTAGGGAGAGACATTTTACTAAGGAAAAAGTTTAAATGGCTAGTTCATACTCCATAATTTGGGTTGAACAGTTGAAAGCAAAATTTTAAAATAGTCTCTTGGGAAAAAAAATAGTGGCTGGTAGTACCCAATTAAATAAGCATCATTCTCAAGTATGACATTCCAGACAAGGCCTTGGTTGCATACCAATTTTTCCAATTATATCTAGTAAAAAGGTAGGTAGATTCTTATCGAACCTATGCAGATAACTCTAGTACCATTTAGAAGTAAGAACACGTAATAAAAGTTTCTGAATTTGGGAGGGGGAGTCAGGCAGGGAGGATATCATTTAAGAATATTCCATTTCAGTTCACATAATCAGAATCCACTAAATTGTTATGAGTTATAGATACCTTAATAAGAAAGAGAAAGGGCTTCCTTTTATACCCAGAAAATAGAACATTAAAATAACATCAGCAACATTCCAAACAAATAGCTACAGTCATTTCTCATCAGTTCATTCAGTCCTGTGTAATCAAGTCTTGTTTGGCTGGATCTTAGGTTGGCAGTATCATGAACCCATTGGCTTCTTGATTAAAAAAGAGTGCTAGAAATCTTGACTTAGCTCACTGTACAGTCTTAAAGTTGTTTAGGCAATGACATCAGAAGCCTGTCCCCAAGATCTATTCTTTAAAGTTTTAAGTACCTGGTAGAGTCCTTTTCCATGGGCTCTGAGATCATGCTTCTTTGTATAAGATGTGAACTCTGGCCTGCAGCTGATTGCAGAGCCTTTGGGGAAGCATCCGAGTAATACCAACAGGATCTGTAGATGCCAGAGACTTAAAATGACTGCGGCAATTACTCGAGTGTTCATAACAAGACTGATGCAACTGACAAATGAATTTTGGTTATTTCTATGTCATGCAAAACAAAGGTAATCCAAAAAATGGAAATAAAGCTTTAATCAACATGTCTATACATACAATGATCAACTGCTCTTCGATTTTCAAAGAAGATAGTGAATATGACTTCTGATTTGTAATAACGGATGGGCACGCTTTTTACAGAGGAAATATTCTTGAGATATACAACATTCCTGAGGTATAACATACATGCATTATACTAAGAATATACCAAAAATATATCAACAATATCAAGTAAAGAGATTCAGAGTAGGTCTTAAACATCAGTATTTTAATAAAACCCTACAGATAAGTCTGATGTTTATCCCCAGATGAAAACCAGTAGTCTAGAAGATGTGAGGTCCAAATAAAAGAAGTAAGGTTCCAACCAAGTAAACATTTAAAATAATAACTGAAATTATGATTGGTCACACCACATTCTTGTTGCTAACATGAAGCAAAGCACATCAGGACGCTGATAAATAGAAACACTGAAAAATCTTCAGGGACTTCCCATAAAGCATTTAGGCTCTAAAATATTTACATTAATAATATTTTACCTATATAAACTTAACCTAGGGAAGGCTGAGCATCTTTTCTGATTTGAATGACTCTTTCCATGAAACTCATCAATAGTAACATAACAAAACCTAATTATTTTTAAAAAAACCTCTCTTTTATAGGGTAAAAGAACAAATCTTTGGATTTTAGGAAGGCAAAACCCAAAAGTTGTCAAGCTATTTAAACGGTTACGATAGTACCATGGGTACCTAAGAAACAATGGTTGGCTCCATTTGAAAGTGACAGGAAGGGGCACCTGGGTGACTCAGTCGTTAAGCAACTGCCTTTGGCTCAGGTCATGATCCCGGGGTCCTGGGATCGAGCCCCACATCAGGCTCCTTGCTCAGCGGGAAGCCTGCTTTTCCCTCTCCCACTCCCCCTGCTTGTGTTCCCTCTCTTGCTGTGTCTCTCTCTGTCAAATAAATAACTAAAATCTTTAAAAAAAGTTTAAAAAAAAAAGCAAAATAATCAAGAACATAATAAAGTTAACATAAAGCACAGAAAATTATTCTGGTAAGACAATATCTTGTAATCTGGACAGTTTACACAGAAGAAAGAACTTCATATTGCAGGAGAAGGCAACAAACAGTAAACCAAGGAAATGAGACCATCAAAACTGGGCAAACTTTGCAAAGACCTTAGCACATTTCATAACTTTTCAGAGTCAGGTTTTATAAACCAAGGCAAATAAAAAGTATTTCCAGACAGAAAGTGGAATGGTGCCTGCTAGGGTCTTAGGGGCTGGGGGGGATTGGGGAGTTACTGTTTAATGGGTACGGAGTTTCAGCTTGGGAAGATCAAAACTTTCTGGGGATGGATGGTAATGATGGTTGTATAACAATAGGAGTATACTTAATGCTACTGAACTGTATATGTTAAAATGATAAATTACTTCCAAGTTTTGTCCTTCATTTTATATTCTGGAACGAACTCATATGTTATTTTAAGACCCATCTCAGGGCATCTGCAATGTCAAAACCAGGTGTACAATATTCTTAAGATGTTATTAATATGCAGTGCATTCATTGTTGCTATCTTCAAGTGATTCAATAAATAAGAATCATAAACATTTCTCAATTTCAGTTTCTAATATGGTAAATGTGATAGTTAAGTACCCCACACCCCCACCCCGCAGTTTCCAATATACACATACACAAAGGTTTTAAGTTACCTAAAGCTCTTGGAAATTATCTTTAAACTGACATAGTACAAAACAAAATTACCATTGAAATAAGAAGTTTTTAAGAATAATGATTCAATTTAGTTAAGCACATTTCCACTTTTTTCGTGTTTAATGTTTAATCTTAAACATAATGAGTAATGTTAACTTATTTTGGTCAATAAAATCTGTAAAAAAAGAATATCCAAGTAGAATATTGTTAGGAATTATACTTAATACTAGTAAATCAGAGAAACATAGCTATTATTATTAAACCCCAGATATTAAACTAGTCTTATTTTCTGAAGATTTATTGAAATTTATGTACTTGAAGTCTAAAAATGTTACTGAGTTGGTTTCTATAAGAATATATTTTTTAAAATGCAGGACATTTAAAGTATTAGAAGTTCAATTTCACTGCTTTCTGGGAATTTTAGGAATATTT